CTACTAGGGGCTCCTGGCCTTACTACTAGGAGCAAGGACGCTACTAGCGGCTCCTGGCCTTACTACTAAGGGCCGGGACGCTACTAGCGGCTAGGGGCTCCTGGCGTTACTACTAGGAACAAGGATGGACGCTACTAGCGGCTCCTGGCCTTACTACTAGGAGCAAGGACGCTACTAGGGGCTCCTGGCCTTACTACTGCAAGCAAGGACGCTACTAGCGGCTCCTGGCCGTACTACTAGGAGCAAGGACGCTACTAGGGGCTCCTGGCATCGCTACTAGGAGCAAGGACGCTACTAGGGGCTCCCTGCATCCCTGCTACCGACTTTGCATGCTCCTAGTAGTAAGGCCAGGAGCCCCTAGTAGCGTCCTTGCTCCTAGTAGTCAGGCCAGGAGCCGCTAGTAGCATCCTTGCTCCTAGTAGTAAGGCCAGGAGCCCCTAGTAGCGTCCTTGCTCCTAGTAGTAAGGCCAGAAGCCCCTAGTAGCTTCTTGTTCCTAGTAGCACAAAAGAAAACAGCAGAGACATGAAGCGACAAAAGATGAAAAGGTTGGACAGATGACAAAAGATGAAACGACTTAAGACAAGGAGCTGTTTGACCCAGCCTCTTTGTGAACAGAGCTGTTTCATCGGACGACTGCGCACTCCGCAGGAGGAACGCACGGGCACCGACCTTTGGTTGTAGCCCATGCTGACCTGAGCCGTTTGAGTGTGGAGACTGGTGCCAAGGACGCGCAAAATGCGCCTTTGGACGTGCCAAAGAAAGAAAACAGGTGACGAATTGCAACTAGATTGCCCAAGAACGGCTGGCAGATTGTAGGGAACCTTTGCGGACCTTGCGCCTGCAATTTCTAGTGTGTTGGATTGTGTTGGTTTTGTTGTTAAGGGATGCACGCGGATGCACTGGGTTACGATGCCGCCACACACTTGAAAACTCACCAAGGTCGGTTGGACCTGATGCCTCGCCTGATGCCGGGTTGAGAAAAAGGCCCCCAGAAGCCATGAGACACCTGCATCATTTGGGAGCTGGGGAGACCTACGGAACCGACACTGCCGGGAGCAACAACTTGCTTTCAATGCCCAGCCGAGTTCAGCTCGGAGCAAGGACGCTACGAACGGAGCTCCTGGCATCGCTACTAGTAACAAAGAAGCTACGAACGGAACAACGGGCATCGCGACTCGAATGGAGCGATCGGACGCTACTGTCGCATCTCCAAACGCAAACCATAGATTCAATGATACGACAGTTTGGCCCACCTTCTATCGCGATGTACTTTGCTTACTCGCTGCAACCACATAAGAAGCTTGAGAGTGTAAATAACTCATAGTGTCTCCCATTCTTGAAGTCTAGCTGTGAAGGTCTTGGGACCACAAGCTTGCAATATCAATTTCTGAGGGCAAGTTTTTTGTGCATGCTTGGATCTTGCTTCATCCTCATTGCAGCTTTTGCTAACTCATTAGTCCATGGCCATAGCTGTATCAAACTTAAGTCTCTTTTTATCCGTTCGAGTCCAACCTAGGCGTGCCCAACCAAAGCAACAATCAAACCAAATCCATTCGTTTATTTGTTCTATCGACTCATCTCTTTGCCATCAGCCACAGGGCCCCCAGCAAGTCTGTTGCAGCAAGTTTTGCATGCTTGGATGCACTTTCTTCCCTGTCAATGCACACGCTTCGCCTCTGAGTGTGCACGGTTTGCCCGTTTCCAAATCGAAGTTGGGCGATTTTGTGCTCCCCATGCTGCCGTCTTATTCAACATGCAGTGACCAAACCTCCACCATTTCCAAGAGGTAAGCAGAGCCTCTATGTTAAAGAACTTGTCCACTTCCACTACTCCAAAGTATTGGATCTGCATGTGTCTTCCTTGTTTTAAAAGCCACTTGCCAACAGCTGCTAACCGTGACCATATCTCCCCGCACCTTCTCTGAATAGAAGTCTAGACTCTAGACTTATTGAAGTACAAGAGCCATGGTCTGCAAACTCATTGACCATTGCAGTGGTAAGACTCATGTAGTGTCTATTGCCCGTAGCCTTTCTTGCTCAAGGGTGAAGAAGACTGAGCTCCTTGCGGCCCTTGTGGCTGCACTGAGTCTAGGGGTTTCTTCACACAATGGCACGGAGGACATGTATGACAAAATCGTGGAGCTGTTGGCAACATATCCAAATAGGTTGCTGTGCGCAAGTGGGTGCCAGGCACCAATGGTTGCTCATTGTTCTTCCAAACTTCTACTGACCACTCATTGGAATGCCGGCAAGTCCTGACGACACTCTACTTCAACAAATCAATCCTAGCTTCCTTTTTAGAAACTACATCCTTTAATAGATCATATGTGTCATTGATAGGATGTGTTGTACTGCATCCTTTCCTTTAAAAAACAATACATTCCTTGATAGTCCTGTCGTACCTAGTTGTACTACATCCTTTAACATGAGTCATGCAACGAACCGCACCAAGACCATACGGATTCTTCGATGAGATTCGGGCGCCATGCCTTGAGCTTGCTGTGCGCCGATGCATTGCTGCCGGAGCGGCTTCAGGGGCAGCGCCCTGCCGAACGTGTCAAAACCCGAACGTATCTAGAGTCTAGAGTTATTTTTGTATCTTTTTGTTGAATGCAGTCTTGGCACACAAGACTTGCAGTGCACTGCTACTCCTTTTTGGTGCTTTTGCGCTGGTCAAGGCACTCCCAATTTCCTTTGGACATTTTTTGGCCGCAGAACCGGTGGCATTTATTTGCCCAAATCTTGCCCTTCACGCCTGTGACCTGGCACGAAGTGGCCCCAGTGGCCCCTCCTGGCAGAAGGGCCACTTGGGATCCATGTTCATCATTTTCGGCGCTACTAGGTTGGAGGCCATCGCTATTAGTAACAAAGGGCATCGCCACTAGGAGCAAGAAGCTACTAGGGGCTCCTTGCCTTACTACTAGTAACAAGAAGCTACTAGTAGCTAGAAGCTATTGGGTTGGAGGCCATCGAAAGTAGATTTTATTGGACCATACTTTGCGATCATGTCGGGACGTTTCGATCACGCGGCGCAAGCTGCAAATGGCCTAACAAACTTGACCCATCCTGGATGGTGCTTAGGGCGATCGGTTGTGGGGAGGGTCATGTTCTATCGTAGGAACATGTAGGAACGTTTCCAAGACGTCTCAAGCAGTGATGATGTGAAAGGATTGCGCTAGATGCATAGCATTCCAAGGCATTTAAAGCAAGCTACTAGTGGCATGCAAGAAGCTACTAGTAGCTTCTTGCAACTAGTAGCCATGGCCTCCACCTGGAGTCTGAGGTCCACCTGGATCAGATTCTTTTGGATATTTTGACCTTGGCAGCCCACTCAGCGTGAAAGGGCACAGCAAGCAGCATCAAGGCATCCAACAACATGCCATGTTCGGTCGTGTGGCACTTTCTCAAGGCTGCAGTTCCTCCTTATCCCTGGGGGCATCTCTTTTATCATGAAGTCCTTCGAGAGGCACTTGAACTAGGACAGGACCTCCAAAGCGTTCCAACTTCTTCCATTAAGCCTTTGTTTAACGGCAAGTGATTGTGCTGGGCAGCAGTCGCCCCCGCCCAAGGAGAGGTTCATGTACCACATCCACAAGAGAGTACCCGTCTTGTAGCTGCATCTTGCAAGGACACACAGAGGGCAACTTTGCTGAATTTGGCATTGGCCTCGGCGGCACCTCGCTCTTCTTTGGGCAAATGGCCAAAACCTACGGGCGACGCTTGCTGGCAGTGGCTCCTTGATTGACCTTTGAATCAATCTTTTTTGCCGAGCGCCGAGAACCCTCTTCAAATCGAATGCGCTTGTATTAGTAACAAGTGCCTTACTAGTAGTAACAATGTTTGCTACTAGTAACAAGTGCCTTACTACTAGTAACTAAGAATTTAAATACAAGCGCATTGTCGTGGTTGCGGTTGCCCTTGCTCGGTGAATGGAAGGACTCCTTCCGTGGCTTGCCACAGCCGGACCCGCTCCTTGACGAAGCCTACTTCGCCGCTGGCGACTTCCGGACTGATGGTGACGAGCCTTTGAATGGTTCGAAGGCCTTCCAGGAATTGCTGGAAAACTTTGGCCTTGAAGAACATGTGGAGGTTTTGACACTCGTTCTCAGATGGTCTTCATGACTGAGAGCTGTTTACGACAATTTTTTGTCCACTGATTTTGACCTTCATACTATCAGCCCCCAGTAATATGAGCCCCGCAAGCGTACAGGACAGGCTGGCGGGACACGTGGACTCCCTTCCTTCTTTCCTTCCTTCCTTTCCCTTCCTTTCCCTTCCTTTCCCTTCCTTTCCCTTCCTTTCCCTTCCTTTCCCTT